CGCCCAATGTGGAGACAATTAGTTTGCGTGCAATTTTTTAATTAAATTTAAAAATTTTTAAAGAAATTCAGTCAAATCTTTCCAAATTTTATTAATTTTTAGCAATTCAAATTGCGTTTTAATTGCCACGAAAAATAATAAAATTAAATAAAAAAATTTTAATTTAAGCTATAATTGATATTTTATAATTTATAAAATTTTGCTTAATATAACATATTTTATTTTTAATTATATACATATTACAAAAATAACTTCATATTCGTTTCTGATGACTTCATATCTAATATTTTTGTATATCGATGCTTTGCATTGATAAATATCAAAAAAAATTTTAATTTAAGCTATTTTTACACGATTTATGAACTATTTATTTAATTAAAATTAATTAATTTGTGTGTGGGGGTGTGTTAAAAAACAAAAGCATATAATAATTTTGGGCAAAATAATGGCGTCAATTTTATGGGAAATGAGCTCTTTTTTTAAAAAAACTTTTTAAGCTCTAAAAAATTTAAAAAAAATTTATATTTTTACATTAATATCTAAAAATATTTTTATTTAATATTCAAATAATCCATCTCTCTGTAAAGCATAATCCTCATTTCCATAAGTAAATCCTTCGAATTCGTTCTGAAATTAATTAAGGGAATTTTTTAATTAATAGAAAATTTCTTAATATGGTAAACGACAGAAAAAATAAATTTATGAAGAGTTGGGGGATTTAGGAAATATTAAAAATATTCGGTACTAGAGAACGTGCCGTTCCGATTATCGAAATAGGAAAGTTATAGTCGATACAAGAAAACGGAATGGGAGGGCCGTATGAGCACCGAGCTCGATCTTTATCAATTTTTCAGAATTTCAAAAATACAGGGTGCGGCAATTTTTCCGCCACTTTTGTTTTGAGCATATCTTGCTTCAAACTCAAGATAAATTGATAATTCTTTTTTTATTTTATTCAAAACTCTATGAGAAACTTTTTGGTATCAAAAAATAGAAATTCGGTTCACGGATGCTAGAGATAAGACGGTCCGAAAATAAAAAAATCTTAAAAAAACATTTTTTTGCTAAATTTTAATTAATCATAACATCGTCCAAAATCGTTCAATCCCTTCAATTTTTGTACCAATCGACATATCTCGTTCAGGCGCATCGAAATAGCCTATAATTCCATTTTTGAAAATTTTAGGAAAAAAATTTATATTTTTCAAATTTAATTTAATATGTCATTCAGAGGACCATATCTCGGTTCATTTTTATGGTAGCCGCCTGATTTTCACGTCATTCGAATCAGATTGAAGAGCTGATTCGAATGATATATAAACTTCAAATATCAGAATCATAGCCGTGAATCTAGGTCAATTTTTATCCAAAAAATTTTGCCCGAACTTTGAGAGAAGTTTAACCGGACTATAATGTAAAATTTAAAGGTGAATTTTGTATCAAGAATTTTCTCAGAGAGTTGATAATAGAATAAAAAAAGAATTATCAATTTATCTTGAGTTTGAAGTGAGATATGCTCAAAACAAAAGTGGCGGAAATATTGCCGCACCCTGTATAAATATGTTCAAATTTGAATATTTTAAACGTACTAAGATTTTGCTTAATATAACATATTTTATTTTTAATTATATATGTACATATTACTAAAAATAATTGTACAGATTTCTCCATCAATTTCGGCCATAATGAATTTTTGTATATCGATGCCTTGCATTGATAAAGATCTACCTCGATGCTCGCTTTTACTAAAATTAAAAGAAAATCGGCTTACTTGATCCAAGTTCATGAGGAAAAGACGATCTACAGGAGTCAATTTTGGTTGTTCTCCAGTAAATTCGGAATCAAAATTGCTTGTGTCATCCCGAGAACGCTGAAAAAATTAATTTAAATTGAAAAATTTTTCTCAAAAGAAATTTTTTAATTTTTAAAAATTTCGAATAATTAATTCCTTATTTGTCAATATTTATTTACTATTTATTTTTCAAGAATTTAATTATTTATTTACTATTTTTAATCCATTAGCAAAAAATATATTTATTTCAGAAAAAATATTAAGTGGTGTAAAAAATAAAAAAATATTAAAAAGGCAAGGTATGTAGTAGGAGGGGATTAAAATAAAATATATAAACATCTAAACAAGAAACACGTGGTTAAAACAAAAATAAAGTGATTAGAAAAAGGATTAGAATAAAGAAATATATGGGGGATTAAAGAAGGAGAAAAGAAGGATATCCACCTTCCGGAAAGAATAATAAAATTGTTGGGGACCATCGATGGTAGGGAATCTCTAACGAGACTATAGCTAATAGAGTTGACGGATGCTGGGAGATCTCCGGATATTATAAATTTTTATTATTCAAGGTTGTCCGATGATGGAGAGAGCTTCAAGTAGAGACCGGACTAGACGTGATCTCAATCGAAAGTCTCGGAGATCGAGCGAGAAATTTTTCGAAATCTTGATTCAGGTGTGATACTCCCAGTCCGGTCTCTAGTTCCAAAAATAATTTTTGAGTGAAAACGCTACTGTGGTGGATAAATGTAAGAATCTATTACTGGCGCTGCAGGCGAGTTTTGAGAAGTTTGCAGGGCCAAGAAACAAAAAAATAAAATTAGTTAAATGAAAATATATACATTAATATCACAAAAATACCACATTAAAAAAATTTAAAAAATTAAAAAGAAAAATTAATAGTTAACAGACAAATTGTTAATATTAACAGCATCATCATTACATTCACTATTTAATTTCAAATTTTGTTTTTCAATTTCCTCTTCATTTAATTCTTTAATATTTCCATTATTTAATTCTTCTTTATTTTTCCCCAAATTTTCTTCAACAAAATTTTTATTATGCCCTAAAAGAGCTTCTTCTGCCTCCCTTCCATATTCTGCACAGGCAGCCTCCGCCGCATAATCAAAATTAAAATGATCAAAACTAACAAATTCGTCTCCTTTCATTTCTTCCAAAATATCCCAATCGGGTTGGGTTAATTTTAGTGGAAGTCTGAGAAATTGAGCATCGAAATTTTCTGTTGACGATTTGCTGGACTAAACACAAAAATAAATAAAAACAAAAATTCACAGCACAAAAAAAGGGAAATCTTATCGGAATTTTGACAATTAAAATAGGAAAGAGACTTACAATTTTAGGTTTGAAGGGAGGTTGAACTTGCCGCCTTTCTATCTTTGGCCATTCTATGCGACGGAAGAAACAGTGCTCCTAGAAAATTTTTCTGATATAGATGGGGTTATATGAAGTTTTCAGTCGGTATTCTCGTATCAGAATACCGATAGGATAAATCGGAATTTAAACAAAGCCAACCCCTAATTATGAGTAAAAATTTCCAATTTGTCCCAAACAGTGATGTCAAAGTTCCAGTTCCAGTTCCGGAACTAATTAGTTCTAGTTCCAGTTCCGGAACTAGAACTACGGAACTAACGATTATCTGGAACTAGTTTGGAACTAGAACTACGGAACTAGTAAATGCCTGGAACTAGCTTGGAACTGGAACTACGGAACTAGTAAATGTCTGGAACTAGCTTTAGAACTAGTTCTGGAACTAGTTCTTGGGGGTATATTTTTGACAAAATTTCCTCGAAAATTACATGCAGCGCGCTGAGTATAGAAGAAATCTGGCTGATTGAGCTCCAAAATTCTAAAAATTTTCGCCTACGGCGCTGAAAAGGTGAATTTTTTCGGCCTACGACCTTAGAAATTCTAAAAATTTTCGCCTGCGGCGCTTAAAGTGCGGCGCTTAAAGTTGATTTTTTTGGCCTACGATCTTAGAATTTCTCAAAATTTTCGCCTCCGGCGCTTAAAAAGTGGATTTTTTCGGCCTCTTAATCCTCCAGTTTATCCTCCAATCTCCTTAAATCCTCCGTTATCACTCACAATCCTCTTATAACCCAGATATCACCAAAAATATCCACAGATATCCTTTTAAATCCATTAATCCCTTCAATCCCTTCTGATCTCCCCGTTAATTATCGAGATTACGCGATTAATCCCGCGGCATCCTGTCCGGTAAAAAATTTTGAAAAAAATCCCGTTACGGGATCCCGTGAATGCAATTTTGCCGCACACTAAATGATTTTTTAAATTAGGCTACTCCCACAATGACATCCGTGTCGAGTGTTTTGTTGAGTGTTTTGTCGAGTGTCAAGTGCACACTCCCAGAATACTCCGTGTTTTGTCAAGTGTCAAGTGTTCCGTGCGGGCATCCGTGCGTGCGTCTGTGTCAAGTGCACCCTCCCACAATGACATCCGTGTCGAGTGTTGAGTGTTTAAACTTTCAAAAAAATCTTGAAAAGCACTTGACAATCAACGCTCAACACTTGATACGGATCAATTGTGGGAGTAGTGTTATGCCTTTATTTGTTAAAATTGATAAATTCTTTCATATTCAAAAATTTGAAAATTTGGAACCAGAACTAGCTTGGAACTAGTTCCAGAACTGGAACTGGAACTAAGGAATTTTAAAAATGGAGTTCCGGAACTGGAACTGGAACTAAAGAAATTAAAAACCTGGTTCCGGAACTGGAACTGGAACTACAAAAATTAGAAACCTAGTTCTGGAACTGGAACTAGTTCCAAAGAAATTTTGGAACTTTGACATCACTGGTCCCAAAACAGAAAAAGCCACAGGTCACCAGGTCACTCCCAAAAAAGTAATTGGTAGGGATTTCAAGAACACAAATCTGTATCTAAAATATTTTATTTTTAATTATATCCCAATCCTTTAAATAAGGACAGATATTTGTTCTCATTCGAATACCCTTTTATAATTACTAAGATTTTTGCACAATATATTCTATTTTATTTGTATAAAACTAAGAATAATTTGAAAGCCGCATTATTATGATTAGCTCGTTCGTCAACCAGTATTATATTTTTGGATATCGATGCTTTGCATTGATAAATAAAATACGGGAAAATATGTGGCATGTATATTAGTGTGAAGATTACAAATGTGAAATTTTGTTAAATAAAAGGTAATAAATTAACTTGCCTTAACATTACGTTCTCCTTCAGACCCACATCCCAGCCTTTTGGAAGGTGGTTTGGTTAGAAAACCTTTACAGATGAGAACAGACTCTTTGGACATTGATTTTGGATAAGATACTAAAAAATTTAAATTTTTGTTTAAATTTTCCAATTAAATAACCATTATGTTCTGTTATTGCAGTAAATAATTCATCTTCATCCTCACCATCAAAAGGGGGTTGTCCCGCTAACATTTCAAAGAGAAGCACTCCAAAGGCCCACCTAATTTAAATTTATTTTTTATAAGCACCCTCCTAAATATAAAAATAAAAAAATATGGGAAAAAGGGAAAGAATTTATGGATGGAAATGAATGGAAAGATATGAGGAAAAAAGGATTCATATCTCCTTATCAATTCACAATAAGGTTCTATGATGAAAATTGGATTCCAAGTTAACTTTCATAATAAATTTTTGATATTTGGAAGTCCGAGAAACAGGAAATCTGATGTCTCTGGTGATCTCATTAGGAGAATCCACCGAAAGAAAACTTATCTCTTATTTTGAATCAGTTATGGCTAAGCCCATTCTGAAACGTTAAATTTATCAATTCAATGCATTGATATTCAAAAATATTGGATTTGGTGACTTCAGTGCTTATAGTTACAAATTAACAGAATTAAATAATAATAATAATTAAAATATTTTATATTAAGCACTTTTTAAATTACTTCTCTATGTATTTTGAGAGAGCATAAACCCAACAAAGTCAGCATAAATTCATAAAATCTTGTAAAAATATCTTACTAATGATATTTACTCCTTAAAACCTTTTCTAAAAATTTTGGCCTATTTCGAAGGAACTATAATTAAAAATATTAAATTTCTAAAAAATGTTTATTTTTGAGAATAAATTTAAAGTTAACCGACTAAAAATTGTAATAGTTTTATTTAATTTATATGAGGTATTTGAGAATACTTTACAAAATTTCTAACTATTACATATACACTCTGTCCCAAAATTATGAGTTCACCCCTAAATTTCATCATAATTTGGGTTTCAGACTACAAAATCAAAATATCTTTTAATATATGATTATTTAGCGTATTCGGAAGTATTTTGCAAGTTCTCAGACAATTTGCAATGTTAAGGCGAAAATTACGCCAAAATTCCTTAAAAACCACTGTCCCAAAATTATGAGTTCACCTTAATATTTTCCTTCAAAACATTAGGAAAAATTTATAAAAATCCCAGTAGACATATACATTGATATCATGAAAAAAATAAAAAAAACTAGGCCCATATCATTATCCAAAGTCGAGATCCAGATACCCCGAAATCAACGTAAAACAAGGGTAAGGCTCTTTAAAAAATATTTTCGGCCTCTTATGTATTATTTAAAATTTTTATTTTAGGCTTATCTGAAAGCCCTTGAAATTTGCTACAAGATAGTGTAGCAACTACAAGATAGTGTACCTTGTCACCAAAAACACCTAATGCTACAAGATAGTGTACCTTGTCACCAAAAAACACCTAATGCCCCCATAAATTGCCCTTTAAGGTCGCTTCGGAAGTTTAACGTTCTGAATCTTTTTATGAAAATTTTTCCGAAAAATAAGATTCAACTATCTTGTAGCAAATTTCAAGGGCTTTCAGATAAGCCTAAAATAAAAATTTTAAATAATACATAAGAGGCCGAAAATATTTTTTAAAGAGCCTTACCCTTGTTTTACGTTGATTTCGGGGTATCTGGATCTCGACTTTGGATAATGATATGGGCCTAGTTTTTTTTATTTTTTTCATGATATCAATGTATATGTCTACTGGGATTTTTATAAATTTTTCCTAATGTTTTGAAGGAAAATATTAAGGTGAACTCATAATTTTGGGACAGTGGTTTTTAAGGAATTTTGGCGTAATTTTCGCCTTAACATTGCAAATTGTCTGAGAACTTGCAAAATACTTCCGAATACGCTAAATAATCATATATTAAAAGATATTTTGATTTTGTAGTCTGAAACCCAAATTATGATGAAATTTAGGGGTGAACTCATAATTTTGGGACAGTGGTTTTTAAGGAATTTTGGCGTAATTTTCGCCTTAACATTGCAAATTGTCTGAGAACTTGCAAAATACTTCCGAATACGCTAAATAATCATATATTAAAAGATATTTTGATTTTGTAGTCTGAAACCCAAATTATGATGAAATTTAGGGGTGAACTCATAATTTTGGGACAGAGTGTAGCCCCATTTGATAAGTTCATGACAATTTTACTTAGTATATATTTTATAGTGTTCTAATTTTATTAAAATTAAATTTTGAGTTATAGTCAATGTCGTGGTGCCCTGTATTGATAAGATATTTTTGGATATCGATGCTTTGCATTGATAAAAAATTTGTAATTTAAATTCCATAAATTATTCGGTGATTGAATAGGGTAATGGCATAAATTTTGCTCGCCTATAGATCTAGTGATTGCGAGAATGGACAAAAATTTTTTTGATTCTGAAACAAAGCAATTTGGTGAAAATTTGATACATATAAGTATCAAATTTAAAAGTTGAAGTACTGACACCTATTTCTTGTTAATTTACGAGATTTGAGTTCTCGATGGTCCCAATTAATTTGCGAATAATTTTTAAAAATTTCCAAACCAATCAACAGATTTTCCATAAGGTTGGTAAAGAATAATTTCTGGAGCAATATAATCAGGCGTTCCACAGAAAGTTTTTGTAGTAGCATCACCCACAATACCTTCTTTACACATTCCAAAATCTGTTATCTAAATGGAATATTTTGTAATTTTTCCACAGAATTTGTCAAACTTTAATATGTCCATCCCTTTCAAGCATTACATTATCCAATTTTAAGTCTCTATAAATTATTCCTTTTGAATGGAGATAGAAAAGTCCACAAGCTATTTCTGCTGCGTAGAAACTTGAATAAATTTTTTATTAATTTTGAAATTAATTTTGAAACTGAATCTTTTAATGAGGTTTGGAAAAGTATTTAGTTATTAGAGATCGAGTTGGAGGTTGACAGAAGCATGGTTTGTGTTTGTTCCCTAGTTTAGACCAACACGTATATTTTTAAATCCCTAGGGTTTCCCGTGCTTTTCCCCTGACTACAGGTCAGGAGGGTAATGTTGAGAGTCAAATCGTGTTTCGAGCCGAAAAGCCCTGTTTTCGGACAGCAACCTCATCCAACCTCCACAGAGGGAGGGACAGTGGATGAAGAAAACCTCAGGAATAAAAGGATAATATTCAGATATTCCCCTCATTTTAAGGGGTATTCCTATCTCCTTTTCTCCCCTTTACATATCCCTCTCTTAAAAATATTGCCCCAAAAAACGAAAAAACTTACACGGCAACAGGCTCTTTAAATTTTCCAACTTGTTGTATTTGATACATTAAATCACCCCCATTAACAAATTCCATAACAAAATAAAGTCTGTCCATGGTCTATTAATACAGGGGAATTTTCCAAAAAAATTACTTTTGATTTTACCTGGAAACAAGAAAATAAAGCTACAAGGAATGGAGGTTTGTCAGGTAATGCAAGAACCCTTTTTTCGACCATTGTACATTCAACATCGTCATCTTGGATTATTACATCCTGAAAGAAAGATAAATTAAAGAAAATATCTTTAGAAGAGGAAATGTTAGAAATTTGGATAAAACATTGCTTAAGGTATAATCCAGGAAGAATAGTCAGACCTCACTTACTATACATTTTTGTGTTTTTAAATGTGGTTTGTCACTCTGAAATGAGGTGGAGACCTTAGCCAAACGTCTTTGTGCAAGTTTTAAATTGTTAAGTGATACTCTATTTCACCTTATCCCAGAATAAGATTTTTCTGATCCAAGGGCGTATAAAATAGATTCAAAAGTAATTAAAGAAGGAGTTGCCGTTTCGATTTCAGCCGGTATTTGGAGGAACCATAACGGACCAAAGCCACAACTTGGTGGAAAATGCCTGGTCCTTATAAATTTTGGTGTCAATCTCCTTAGCACGATGAGAGGAATCGTTTAATCTAAATTTGTTAAGATGAGGAAATTATCAAACAGGTTATATTTGCGCCTTTATTGTGTCCCGAAAGGATTTAGGCTTGTAGTATAACACCCCTTATCTTAACTCTTGCTATATTAATTTCCATTTTTTTCTTACTTTTTTAAGTATTTTAATAGCAAATAATTCTTTAGTTTGTTTGTGTTCTCCAAGAAGTACTTTTCCAAAAGATCCTTTTCCCAAGACTGTCAAAAAATTAAAATCGCTAGCCACACATCTTTGGGCAGGTTTTGAATTGTTATTGTTACAAGAATTCTCTAAATTATTGTCTGTAGAGGCTCTTTGTTTTGCATTGGCCAAATGTGGTTTGCTGTTAACTTTTTGTGATTTTGTGGAGTGTAAATCTGCCATTTTCTTTTGAAGTTTTTCAATATCTCTTTCATTTTCTGGGGGTATTCGAATGTTGTAATATTCACCTAATGATATGAATTTATAGAATAATAATCATAAAATATCTAAATGTCTAATAGTTGCCTGATCAGAATTTTAAATAAGGTTCCCCAGGGATCTAGTAGCTTTTTAAACGACCATTTGCACCGTACACGCAAAGAGCTAATCTCATTTTTAGTTAGATAGGATTTGATATTCCCTTCATTTATCCATGTATCAAAGACTATTGGAATACACCCGTGCCGTAAGATATTAAAATGGTAAGTTTAACGTAACATGACCTAGTAAAAATTTGTCAATTGATCTATTGACATTCAAAAATATCATGCCAGCGGGAAGATGAAACACCGTAGACTGGGTTTAATTGTTATATATAATTACTTTAAAACAAATTATACATATTATACTAAGAAAAATCGCTTGATTAAAAAACTGAAATGCTAAATTGTCGCAACATCTTATTTCCCGAAACCACCAAATAGAAATTAACTCACCCTCTTCATCATTCAACAATTTAAACCACCCATCAACAGGTTCTTTAATTAATTCACTAATTCCAAAAGAAAGGGAGCCCATAAAATCGTTCCTACTAGTTCTGTCCCAATCCCACACAGCAACAGATAAACGTCTATCTTTGTCAGAAGGTTCTAATTTGAAGAAAAAATGTTCGTCCCAAACGGGGTTAAGTGTTGATTTTATTGTTTTTGATTTTTGTTTTGGTTTGCATTGTTCGTTCTCTTCGAAGGGAATAAGTTTCAGTTTGACATAAGGATCTGACAGGCCATTCGGATCCATTGGAATTAAATTTCTTGCCTGAAAAAGAATTCAAATATTTTGTAAATGGAAACAGTATTTTCGTAAAATTAATTCAAGTATAGATATTAGCTAATGAACTTTGCTAATTCTTTAATCCAGAATAAAAATATTGGTATTCACAATAATTCTACAGACTGAATTTATTGAACCAAAGCCGAAAAACTTTTCAGGTCTAGAAGGAGAAAGCTCAGTCAAGACTCTGCTTCTGTATCGGTATAAGAAAATATGATCAAAAGATATGTATACCAGCTCATAATTTTGCCAATTGTTCATTGACATTCAAAAATACAAGACCTCAACAAGTTTGATACAAATTTCCCATTTTAACGTTACTTATAATTAATCTCAAATAAATTATATTATATTAAATAAAACTGGTTGTGAAAAACTTTAAAGTCTTTAAGTTCTCTAAAAGGTTACCTCTCTGATATATACATTTAAAACACCATCCTTTACATGACATTCTAAATTGATACGCCCTCTTTTCTCTGTGTGATCTGAGCCACATAAATTAGGTACATATCTGACACAACGATGATGAACTGAAAAAAGTATAATGCTCATTTACAAAATTCAAAGCTTCCTCTCAAATTCATCGACACTGGGAAATAATTTGCCAATTAATTTTATTGACATTCAAAAATTTTATGGTTCGAAACAAAAAATCATTTTTAAAAAATTTACTCTATCTTACATATAATTATGAATAAAATAAATTATATTAGTAGTCTAAGTACCACTTTTATATCAAAAATTTTTATCAAAATTTTTGATATAAAACCGGCACAAAAATTCTTTACAATTATTTTTCAATAGGTTTAAAGGGAAATTAAAAATTACACCGTTTTCAATAGGTTTAGAGGGAATTTAAAAATTAAACCGATGCCTAACTTGCGAGATCGGACGGGTTAGCACGTTTGCAACGCGTTATGATTGTAATCACAGTAAAGCTCTAATTTTAATATAAATAGAATATGAAAGAAGTAGTCTAGGTATGAAAGAAGTAGTCACTCTTTTAATCAGAGATAATTTTTGGAATAAAAAAGCAACAACAAAAACCAACGGTATTTAATAAAATTAATTTATTTTCAAAGAAATTCATAAAAAACCACATATCAAAAATTACGATATAAAAAACGGCACTAAAAAGCGGCACAAATATATGTTCATCCTAAATGCGGAATCAAAAGCAAACATTCCCAGTAAAAAGCATTGACGGGTTTGTTTGTATTGGAAGGTATGGAGTATATAGTTATGCAGTATATTTTTATAGTATGGGGGTATAATTTTTATCGGAATGTATTGGGGGGTAAACGAGGAAAAATTGGAAGAAATCTATACTTTTAAAAGATTTTTAACAAAAACTTTTAAAGATTTGCTTTTAACGTGGGATTTGCTTGTAACTGTATTTTTATTAAATATATGAAAATAATGACAACAAATAAGGTTAAAAATTCATTAAGTTTATCTTAGAAAAATTTATTTCATTCAAACTAAAAAAACTGGATTTATTTATTTCTTATAATTTTAATTTCAATATAAATTATATTTCAATCCAAATATTCAAAATCAAAAGCAAAATCTTGATAAGCCCAATATTTTTCTATTACCCTCGTTATGATTTAAAATAATTTTTATAAATTTTTGCGTTAAAAGCTGCAACAAAAACCCCCTCTTTAAAATAAATAACTAATAAATATGTTTAATCAATATAAAATAATATATTTAATTAATTTTTTATTAAATAAATAAAAATTTGTAAAAATTAAATTTTGAAGAAATATATGTATTATTTTATGAAATTTTTCTTCAAAAATTAATTATTTAAAAATATATATTTTTAAAAATTTATAAATAAATAAAGTTTTTAAATAACTAATTTTTGAAGAAAAAATTGAAATAATTGATTTTTAAAATTAATATAATTTTTAAATAAATATTTTTGACGTAATTATTAAAAATTTCTAAATAAAATTTTTGAATAATTAAATAATTTTTAAATAAAATTTTTAATTTTTGAAATAAATACAATTTTAAATAATTTTTAAATGATAAATCTGTGAGGAAAAATTTCTTTATAGAAAAATTATTAAGGAAAATTATAAGATTTTTAAATAAACAAATTATCTTTAAAACGAATAAGTGAAGGAAAAAGTGATTAAATAAATTTTTAAATAAACAAATATTTTTTAACGAATAAATGAATGAAAAAGATGGAAAGAAAAGAGGGAAAATAAAAGGAAAAAACTGGATAAATTATAAACAATCTTTTTTAGTAATGTTTAAAAGGCACTAAAAAACCAAATAGAATAATGAAAAACGATAAAATATCAAATTTTTGGATACGCTCTAAATAATAGAAATAAAAAAGGATTTCACGTGAAAAATATTAAAAGTTTTTGTTTTTTTTATTCTGGTTTTAGTGACATTTAAACCTTACCAACAAAAGATTGTTTATAATTTATCTAGTTTTCCCTTGTTTCCCTCCATTTTTACTTTCCCCTTTTCTTTCATTTATTTGTCTAAAAAATATTTGTTTATTTAAAAATTTTATTTTCTTCCCTTTTTTCTTCATTTATTCATATAGACACATATTTAAAAAAAGAAAAATTTTCTAAAATTTTATAAAAATATATATTTTTAAATAATTAATTTTTGAAAAATTTTTATAAATATTAATATATTTCTTCAAAAATTAATTATTTAAAAATTTATATTTTATTTTTAATAATTTTTATTTACGTTTTATTATTTCCTTAAAATTCTATTTATTCTTCGAAAATTTTTTAATATTTGCCTCACAAAGTTTTTCTAAAAATTTATAATTTCTTTAAAATGTTGCTTTTTTATTAATTCTAGAATTCTATATTTTTTAGAATAACTATCAAAAATTTTTATTAATTTTTTAAATTTTTAATTATTTATATGACAGCGAAAATTAATTATTTTAAAAATTATTATTAATTTATTAAATTTTTATTAATTATTTACTTTTCAAAAATTAATTATGTCAAAATAACTTTTTCTTAAAAATTTTTATTAAATTAAACATTTTATCTAAAATTACTTATTTCTTCAAGAATTTTAGTTAAAATATGTCATTAATTTCTTTAGAAATGAAATATTAAATAATTATTAGTAATTTTTTATTTTAAAAATTTTATTTTTTATTAATTTTGATCATTTGTGAAAAAATAAAATTTTAACATTTTTATGATTTTCCCTATAAAAACTGTATTGTTTAAAAACTATTAAATTATTCAAAAATTAAAAATATATATTTATTTTTTGAAGAAAATTTTTACAAATTTTACACTTATTCTTAAAAACTTTAATTAAAAATATAAAAATATAAAAAATTAATAAAAAATATAAATTTATTTATATTAAAAATTTTAAATATAATTTTTTCAAAAATTAATTATATTATTTTTAAAAAATTTGAAAAATTTTATTTTCTACAAAATAGATTATTTTTACTTTAAAAATTTTTAATTTTGTCTCTCAAACATTAAAAATTAATTTCTTCACGAAATTTTTTAAAATTTTTATTTCTCTAAAAAATTATTTAAATGTATTTCCTAAAAATTACTTAATTTAAAATAAGAAGTTTTATTTTTCAAAATTTTAAAATTTATTTTTTCTTCAAAAATTAATTATTTAAATATTCTTTTTTTAAAATTTTATTATTCAAAAATTTTTCTTTAAATTTTTTCTAAAAAAATATAAAAATTTTCATTTTTTTAAAAATTTTCATTAAAAATTTTCAAAAATTTTCATTTTATAAAAATTTTCATTTCTAAAAAATTTTTTCTAAATAATTAATTAAATAATTAATTTTTGAAGTAACAATTTATAAATAATAATTTGTTGAAATGAATTTTATAAAATTTTTTAATTTTAATTATTTTAAATAAAAATTATTTAAGAAAATAAATATATATTTTTTAAATAATTAAAGTTAGAAAAATTAATGAAAATTTTTAAAAATTAAAAAACGCTGAGTAAATAATTAAATTTAAAACAAATAAAATTTGAAGGAAAATGAAACAAGGGGGAAAATTCATATAAACTTTTAAACAATTTTAAATAAATAAACAAAACAAAAAGGAAAGACAAGGAAAAATTAAAGAGAAAAAGTTTGGATAAATTATAAACAAATATGTTTAAATAAAGATTAAAAGTCAAAAAAATGCAGTAAAAATTCTGATAGATATCATAAATGTGCAAAAGCCCAAAAAAATATTGTGATGTGTAAAAAACGCATTTTTGATCTTTAATTGAAAATATTTGTTTATAATTTATCCAAACTTTTTCTCTTTAATTTTTCCTTGTCTTTCCTTTTTGTTTTGTTTATTTATTTAAAATTGTTTAAAATGTTATATAAATTTTCCCCCCTTTTTTTCATTTTCCTTACAATATTATTTGTTTTAAATATTTATTTATTCAAAATTTTTAAAAATATATATTTTTTAGTAATTAATTTTTGAAGGAAAAAATTTACATTTATTCTTCAAACTTTTATTATTTAAAAAATATATATTTATTTTATTTAATAATTTTTACTTAAACAATAAAATTGATTTCTCTAAAATTATTTATTGGAATTTTTATATTAAAATTATTTATTTAATCAAAAATTAAATATTTAAAAATAATTTTATTTCAATAATGACTTAATTAAAATTTTTATTTAATCAAATAATTAATTATTTAAAAATAAATTTCATTCAAAGATCTAGTAATATGTATTTCTTGGAAATTTTAAAAAATTTCTTCATCAAAAATTTAATTATTTAGAATAATTTTTCAACAAAAAGTTAAAAATTCTTCTTGGAAAATTTAATAAATATTTTCTTCATCAAAAAATTAATTTAAAAAATAATTTATCTTCAAAAATTAAATTTTTAGATTATTTTTCTTCAAAAATTAATTACTACAAATTTTTCTTGAAAAAATAAATTATTTAAAAATTTTTCTTTAAAATTTTAAAAATATTTTTTAATATTTTAATTTTTTAATATTAATTAATTAATTTTTTAAATTAAAAAATTAATTTTTTAAATTATTTTTCTCAAAAAATTAATTATTTATAATTATTTTTTCAGCAAAAAAGTTAATTTGTCAAAAATACTTTTTGATTCAAAATCAATTATTTAAAAATAATTTTTCGTCAAAATTTACTAGTAAAAAGCTGTATTGAATAATTAGTATTTATTTCAGACCTGCTCACGGATACGGATAATTTCCGGATACCCGAGGATATCCGCGGATACGGATGGATATGGATATGATGCTTCAAATCCGCGGATATCCATCTCAAAATTCTAGCCTGCGGTGCAAAGAAAGTGAATTTTTTCGCTTTCGGCCTTCAAAATTTTAAAATTTATTTTTCTTCAAAAATTAATTATTTAAAAATATTTATTATTTATTTTAGAGTTGTTTAAAGCCTGTTATTAATCGGTCCCCCCGGTTAACGTTTAAACGGGATTTTAGAAACGCGATATCGGTTAATAGAAAATACACGTTTCGCCGTCCGGTTTTTAATAGAAAAAGGCTTTATT